CGCAGCGGGTCACAAACTAAACTGAGCACATTTGCTGTCAGTGCACTTTACAGGTTCATGGGTTAAAACGGGTTAAATTGATCCGTTTCTGTTCTGGGCATTTGTGCAAGAGTTAATGGAAATACTTGCTTTCTTTTACCAGCAACTGATGCACTAAAACTGTTTTTCAGAATAACATGAGAATATATTGTGTGTGTGTTATGTGTGAGTTATGTGTGTGTGTGTGTGTGTGAGCGTGTGTGTGTGTTATGTGTGTGTGTGTGTGTTCTGATCCAGACGGACCGTCGTTCTGCAGTGAATCTGCTGATGTTGCCGAGTCAGCGGTCTGGGGTCCTGATGATGGACGAGCGTCTGTCCGTCTGACTGGCTGTCATTTTCTCTTGTGTTTCTCACAGGCGTCTCACACACGCTTTCAGACCATGAGTGATGAGTCTCCGTTACAGACGCGCCTCACCACTGTGAGTACAACACACACACACACAGGAACATGAGAAATTTCCAGAAAACTTTTCAAATAACTTTTTAAAATTTTTCTGATGTTTATCTTCTAAAAACTAAAACTAAATATACAAGAAGTTAAAAGAATCAGACCCCCCCCAAATAACCAAATCGATTATCGGAAACGTCTTGATTTCCCTTATAGAAATGAATGGGTTACTCTGATAATGAAGCCGCTGTTTTTGCCGTTTTCCTGCAGAACATCAGTGTGAGAAACTGCAGACCAAGTGTTTTCTGTCTCTTCTGGCATTTCTCTGTTTGGAAACTCAGTGAGAGAAAATCTGTTTCTTCCCAAGTTCATTCTGTATGGACGAGAAAAACATGACCAGCTTGTGTTATTGGGTGTGTTCAAAATCACGGCATCCCACCGTCAGCAAAACCTGTGAAAGACAGAAATTACTTTTATACTGACCAAACGATATTTTCTATCCCCTAACCCAACCCTAACCCTACCCCTTACAGAAAACCTGTTTGCATCGTTACACTTTCAGATAAACATCATTTACTATTTTTAATTATTTTTCCCTCGTGGGGACCGCAGGTTTTCAATTTCAGGTTTTACTATCCTTGTGGGGACATTTGCACACACACACACACACACAAACACACACACAAACAAACAAACTCTCTCTCACACACACACACACACACACAAACAAACAAACTCTCTCACACACACACACACAAACACTCTCTCTCTCACACTCTCACACACTCTCACACACACACTCACAGACAGAACTTACGTGCTACTGGCACTCTCCTCTGCAGCAGTGGTCCTTTCACAGTCTGTTTGCTGTCTTTATTAACGCCGATGAAGGCTGTATGAACGCTGCTCACTCCGGCATGAACGCTGAGCTCCACAATCCTTCTCCTGATGTTCTCTGCGTCTGCTCCTCCGGCTCGTTCCTCCAGCTCCAGAGAGCGGATCACATACCGGGCCGCCAGCCGGTGGATCGTCAGCCTGCAACAAACACAAACCTGTAAACACAGTCTTCAGTGTCAGAGACGCGGCCCAGCGGCTAGTGAGCACTAATGTGAACACAAACATGAGTTTTGGGTCATTTCATCCCACTCTTCTTTATATTGATTCATGTCACATCTATAATTGTCCTGTTAAAGCCAAATTAAGCAACAAAATCAATAGTAAAAAAAATCTATTGGGACGGCCATGTTCAAAAGCATAATAACATACTTTTTACACCACTAAATTTCATAAAAACAGAAACATATCATTCCTCACTTTAAACTGAAAAAAATCACCACCACTCTGATGCTCAAGAGCAATGTCCCAATCATCAACGAGCAGATTCTGTCCAATGAACCAGTTGAAACCTGTATGTATGTGTGAGTGCGCAAACACGATAGTGAGTGTGTGAGTGATCATGTGTATGTGAGAGAGAGAGAGAGAGAGAGAGAGAGTGTACTGCTATATATAGTTTATGAGGACACAAATGTGTATAATGACATGGGTTCTACAGCATAAACATGGTTTATGAGGTGTCCCCGTGAACTAAATGGCTTAAAAACATACTAAAAAGTGTTTTTTGAAAATCACAAAATTCCTGTAGTTTTGTGTGAGGGGTAGGTTAGGGTAAGGGGATAGAATATATCATTAACCTGATATAAAACACTCTCACTCACTCTCACTCTCACACACACACACACACACGAGGAGCTGCAGTAAACGCGTCACGGCTCAAGGCTTTATTCCGTCTCTAATTTTAGCGCTCATGTCCTGGTTTCTCATTCAGAGACGCAGAAACTGAAGTGAAGATTCCTCCGAGTTTTGATTCTTACAGTCAGCACTAATTAATCACTCATCTCTCTCAGAGTTAATTGTATTATGCAGCGCTGCTGAGAGACTCTCGAGTGACGGACCACACACAACAATTATTGTTTCTTCGTTTAAAAATGTCTCTTTTTAAAACTGAATTCCTAAGTAACTTTTATGTTTTTTTTTAAATTTCTGTTAAGCATTTTGAATTGCCACTGGATATGAAATGTGCTATATAAATAAATACATAAACAAACAAACATTAAAGACAGTGTTCACCCAGAAATGATCAATCTATCATCATTTACTGTGTTGTTCAAACCTGTGTGACTTTATTATATAAACACACAAAAAATATATTTTGAAGGAACCAAACATCGGACCCCATTGAATTTCATTATATGCACAAAAAATGCTGAGATATTTCTCAAAATACCTTTGTTTGTGTTCCAATGAACAGGTTTAAACAACATCACTGAAGACAGAATTATCATTTCTGGATGAAACTATTCCTTTAATCTATTTACAGCATTAGTGGCATAACTATGGTTGATTTGTACAGAGTAATAAATAGGAAAATAAATTAATCAATCATGAAACCAATGTCATTTCAGATCAATTCAGTTCAATGTTGATTCAATTCAGATCAATGACAGTGTCATTATGAAACAAAAAATCAGAAAATAATTTAGAAATTTTAGAAATATTGGATGCACGGTATTCATTCAGCATTTAATGTGTCTTTTGCTTCTGTGGTTCTGTATTTAATGTTTTTAATGTAAATATAAAAAAAGAGTACAGTATCTGTGGTTATGGACACATTATGGTTTAGATTTACATTTACATTCATGCATTTGGCAGATGCTTTTATTCAAAGCGTTTTGCATTGCATTCAGGTATACATTTTTTGTCAATCCTTACTTTCTCTGGGGATCGAACCCGTGACCTTTGCGTTGAGAGCGCCATGATTTGAGCTACAGAAAGGCTGTAGATGGAGTTCATGGCATGATGGTCTGTTGTGGTTCCTCATGTCTCTTATGGACGAAATGCACATGATTTTGACTCAGATGAGCAGAAGCACAGAGATCTCAGTGTGTAACACACTGCTGATGTGTGTGCGTGTGTGTGTATGCGTGTGCGTGTGTGTTTGTGTATGCGTGTGAGTGTGTGTGCATGCGTGTGTGTGTGTGTGCATGCGTGTGTGTGTGCGTGTGCATGCGTGTGTGTGTGTGTGTGTGCAGGACGTACCGCTGGCGTCTGGCTCTCAGGAGAACTATGTCCTGCTGCTGGTGCTGCTGTGTGTGTTCGCCGGTGGGACGCTGGTCCTCCTGTCCATCCTGCTGGTCTTCTGCCACCGCTGCTGTCGAGGAGAGCGACGCTACTCCAGGTGAGGAACATTCAGTCCTCCAGACCTCCGGAAACAGCCTTCATTCATTCAGAAACGACTCGCTCTCGACCTGCTGGAACAGAATCATTAAGACTTGTGTTCACTGGAAACACTGGAGTTGACAAACCTCTTCATCACCACATATGGACCACAAATTGAGATTTATGCATCATCTGAAAGCTGAATAAATAATATTTCCATTGATGTATGGTTTGTTAGGATAGGACAATATTTGGCTGAGATACAACTATTTGAAAATCTGGAATCTGAGGGTGCAAAAAAATCTAAATATTGAGAAAATCATCTTTAAAGTTTTCAAATGAAGTTCTTAGCAATGCATATTACTAATCAAAAATTAAGATTTGATATATTTACGGTAGGAAATTACTAAATATCTTCATGGAACATGATCTTTAATTAATATCCTAATGATTTTTGGCATAAAAGAAAAATGTATAATTTTGACCCATACAATGTATTGTTGGCTATTGCTACAAATATACCCCAGCGACTTAACACTGCTTTTGTGCTCCACGGTCACATATAATGTGTGTGTGCGCGTTTATAAACTAAACGAATCACTGTATCTCATCATGCTGATGTTGTTTGTGTTTGTTTGGTGTTCAGAGCCAGTGATGAACTGGAGAAAACCAACACCACATACATAGAGGAGAGTCAGCCGATGCAAGGTACCTGTGAACACCACAAACACAGCAGCACAGTCAGGCCAAGGGCTCAATTAAGAGATTCATTTAGATTGGTCAGTTTTGTTCGATTAAGTGATTTTTAAACTTCGGTCAGTTTTGTTCAATTAAGATATATATGTATATGAGATGTGAGCACTTATGAGTAGAAACAAGCGTGCAGCACTGTCGTTTCTCTCTCTTCTTCAGACGTCACCATCAGACTCGAGAGCGGCGAAACACTGTCCACTTCCTGCTGTCATGGAGAGACAGACGCGGATCACTTCCTGTCTGCGTCGCTCACCGGAAGACGGGTGTCTTTTAACGAGGCCGCCATCTACGAGCAGAGCGCCAAAGACCAGGAGAAAGGTCGAAGGTCAGACACACACACACACGAAGGTTAAGAGGTCAAGAGCGGCAGCGACCCGAGAACGTCAGCCTGTTGAGAATTAAGTTCATGTTTTACTTCGGTTTTGTTCGATTAACATTTAAATGTCAGTCAGTTTTGTTTGATTAACAGATTTAAACATTGTTCGGTTTTGTTCGATTATGAGATTTAAATGTCAGTCGGTTTGTTTGATTAATATATTGCAATGTCGGTTGGTTTTGTTCTGTTAAGAGATTTAAATGTCAGTTGAATTTTTTTAAAGAGATTTAAACATCGGTTAGTCGGTTTTGTTCGATTACGAGATTTAAATGTCAGTCGGTTTTGTTTGATTAATATATTTAAATGTCGGTTGGTTTTGTTCAATTAACAAATGACGACGGTTGGTGTTTTTTTCGATTACAAGATTTAAATGGTTGAATTGGTTGAATTAAGAGATTTAATCGTTGGTCGATCTTTTTGGATTAATAGAGCTCAACATTGGTCAGTTTTGTCCCGGCCCACATCCAGGTGTCTGTCACAGAATTAAGTTCATGTTTTAGTTCACAACCATAAAGAACCACTGCCACTGAATATCAGAAAACAGCAATGCATCAGACTTGAGCTGGCACTGGATCTGGATCCTGACGGGCTGTAACGGTCTCGCAGGTACACGCTGACGGAGGGCGACTTCCATCACCTGAAGAAAGCTCGTCTGACGCACATGCAGCCGCCGGCGCTGAAGATCCTCACCATCATGGAGTGTGATTCACCGGAGAACAGCGTGACGCTCAGCGAACAGCCCTCACAACACCCATCCCTCTCCATATTCCAGGTGACACACTGCTTTAATATCTCTCAAACATCACCTCCAGCATGTCTATTTCTGTTGTATGCACTGCAGAAAACATTAAAAATGCACTAGTGACCCATTTGCAGTACAGGCTTTTGTGAAGCAACATTAAATACGGTAGTGAACTCACATTATACGAACTACTAAACAAACTCTCAATGGGCCTGATGATCCGCAGACACAAAGACTTTCTGTTCAGTAGATGTGACTGAATAAAGAGCGTTTCAGTAGATTACAGCAGCACTTTTGGGCGTAAATGTGATTCACTTTCTCATGTAAATTAGACGAAGTTCATCCTAACTCTGACTTGATTCATTTTCTGCATAGAGCTGCAGTTACGCAACACAATCGCTGTCACTGTGTCTGATTTCTGAAACTGCTTTCCATAGATAATAAAATATGATTATGTCATAAATAATAATAATTAACCAACCCTTTAGAACATCTGTCAACCAATCAGAATGAAAAATTTGACAAAAAAGTGGTGTGTTTTTATATTATTTGTTTATTTGCTCAATGCTCAAAATATTATTTTGATATTTTCGGTTTTCAAATTTAAGTATTAAGTCTTTTTTTTGTGTGCTTTTGTCATTTTGTTTTTTTTATATTTTAAATGTAAATATTTAAATATTTTTATATTTATATGGAATGTCAATATATATAGTTTTTATTAATTTTGTTTAAACATGTTTATTTAGTTGTAGTTATTATCAAGTTAAACTACAGACTTAACTTTTTTTTTTACATTTTATTTTAATTTGGTTAATGTTTATTTTATTTCAAGTAACAAACGTTCTTTTTTAGTTAATAACCCTGTGCCGGATTGAAGGAGGATCCTCATAAGCTGCTAAATTAACGCTGTCATACTCCTAAGAAGCATAATTGTTGAGTAAAATAGTGCATTTTCAGTTAGGCTGAAGGTTTTGATATTCCATAGATTTTTCAGTGATTTGTGCAGTTTTGGGATTCAGTTCTCCATAAAGGATGCATGTGATGCTGCATATGAAGGGGGCCTAGAAAGCAGCATCATTATACTGGCTACAGTTTGGAATGTGTGATGCCTTAAAATGCACCTTGTGTAATCAGCTCACTAGGTTTTGTGTGTGTATATGTGTTTGTGTGTGTGTGTGTGTGTGTGTGTGTCTCTGTGAGTGTGTGTGTGTGTGTGTGTGTGTGTG